GAGTATCATTTTCAGAGAGCTGGATGGCAGAATTTATCTAATCCTCATGTAACAACCATTCAGGCAGGCAATGCTCATAAACTCCTTTTTGAGGGGATGACAATTGCTGTTTCTAGATAATAAAAGGTAGCACTTGACAGCATACTAATAATAATATAACATATTACATTCTACTCAACTCAAAGGCATCGTGGTAAAGTGGAAAAGCACAGGATTTGGGGTCAAAAGACCTAGGTTCGAATTCTGGCTCTTATTAACTACCTGTGGGACAAATCACTCAGACCTTCTCTGGGCCTCAGTTCCTTTATCTGTAAAATGGAGTTAGGGGTTTTGGGTTGGACTGGATGATTTCTAAGTGAGTTTTCATCTCTCAGTTCTGTAAGTCTAAGGATGACCTGAGTGTCCAACCAGATTTTACCAATGAAGCTTTGGAAAAATCATAGCATCTCAGGTTGGAAAGGACTTCAGAGGTCATCCAGCCTGATGCCTATGTGCAACTGGAATCTGCCCTATGAGTTGGAACCCTGATGGTCCTTGAAGACCTCCAATAAAGGGTACTTGAAGACCTCCAATAAAGAGTAACCACTACCTGACAAGGCAACCTATTTTGCTGTGGGACTAGCAGGCATTTCCTTACACAGAGTAGAAATCTAACTTTGCTATATGCTTACAGGCAGAGCAAATCTAGTCCTTCTTCCATGTGACAAACTCTTCAAATACTTGTTAACAGGTATTATCCCACCTCTAATTCCAGGTCTTTCCTCCACAAAAAAACATCCAGTGTTCCTTCAACTCTTTATTATATGTAATTGACAAGAAGCTTTTCTGGATTTCCACAGTTGTTAGTGCTTCAATTATTTTGCATTTTTATTGCATTTATTATCTATGTACATGCTGCTTTCCCCTTGTAGGATGTAAACTCCTCAAAGACAGGGATTATTTAATTTTTATGTTTGCATTTCTACTACCTTGCCCAGTCTCTGGCATGCATGTTTGCCAGTTCCTTTACCTTCCTGGTCACCCTCCTCTTCTTCAGTTTATCAATAGCTTTAGATATTATCCCTCTCCTAATGCAGCCTAAAATCACATTTTTTTTGGCTCCCATGTCAGGCCATTGACTTACATCAAGTTTTCAATCCACAGAAAATCCCAGACCTTTTTCATGTGAACTAGTGTCTGGCCATGCTTTCCTCATCCTGAACTTATTTTGTTTTGTTTTGTCTTAATTCTCAAGTAGGATTTTTCACTTTTAAATTTCATCTTATTAGGTTTAACTCATCATTCTAGCTTGTCCAATCTGACTCTGTCATTTACTCAGTTAGCTATCCCTACCTAGCTTCATATTACCAGAAAATTTGATAAGTATGCCATTTATGCCTTCATATATTTCCCTGCATAACACAGGGTCAAGGTCTGATCTCTGAGGCCTCCCACTAGAGACCTCCTTTTAAGTTTTATTGATTTACTAACGGCTAATCTTTGGATCAAATCAAGAATTCATTCAAAACCTACCAGATTGTACTATGATCCAACCAATGCCTTTTCATTTTGTCCACAAGGCTTTGTCAAATACTTCATTAAAATACAGAATACTGAAATAAACCAAAAGCTCTGGATTTATAATCTAGGAGATTCTTGCAAATCATTCTCTTTGACTCATGTCCCCACCCAGGATTTCCCCTGAAAACACCAGAACTTAGTTTATATCTAGACCTCCATGAAAAGAGAAAAGTACCTTCAGTTCCTGTGCAAGCACTCAGGCTAACAATTCATCAAATGCAGGGTAGATTTTATTTAACCTGACCAAAATTCGAAACAAAAAGGATTCACAAGCCCTTGAATAGTCAAAAAAACTCTCCTTCCCAGCTTCCTCAGGGACATATACAACCTGCTCCACACCTATAATAGTCTCCTAGATTGTAAACACCTAGAAGGCAAGGACTTTCTTTTGCCTCTTTTTTTATTCTTGGTGCTTAGCACAGTATCTGGCACATAGCAGGCACTTAATAAATGTTTACTGAATAAATAAAAGGGCTGGAGTTCCTTGAAATGGAAATAAAATAAAACAAACAAACTTGGAATTGCTGGGAAATAAGTAGCAACCCTCTCTTCTTTCAATGAGGCCCACCACTCCAAGGACCTAAAATCCTCCAGATTTATCACATTCCTTTAGGGTCAAAGCCCTCCATTATTGAAAAGGGGCAACTAGGGAGCACCCAGCCTGGAGTCAGGAAGACCCGAGTTCAAATCTGGCTTCAGATACTTGCTAGCTGTGTAACAGCAAGTAGCTTAACCCTGTTTGCCTCAGTTTCCTCATCTATAAAATGAGCTGGAGAAGCAAATGGCAAATTACTCCAATATCTTTGCCAAGAAAATCCCAAAATGAGGTCACAAAGTGTTAGACATGACTGAAATGACTGAACAACAACATTCTCGAAAAGAACTGGAATTCACCAGAAAATTGACTCCTTCTCTTCTCTTGCTGTCTTCCACAGCCATTTTTGGACATCTTCTCCCTTAGGGCCATCTGGTTACCTGATGTAGACAGTTTTCTGATTCACATAGCTCCCTTCAGGAAAGGCCACAGGGCCACACAAGGACCTGGAGGTTTATATGTTCGTGTATGACTACCTCAAGTTCTTTCTATGCCCTTTTTAAAAGCCAAGTCCAAGGATATGGCTCAACAATGAGGTGTTAACTGGGTGGTAAATACTCATGAACTTCATCATTAAGGTGGGGCTAGTTCCTTTATACCCAGGGCAAGGCAAGTTCACACCTTGTCAAAAAAAAAAGTGTCCTAAATGCCAGAACAAAGACTTCAATTATGTTAACCTTGTTAACAAGGAGTAGCACTAGACCAGAAGTTAATCTTGTCACAAGCTTAACACTCCCTTAGAGAGATAAAAGAGAACTACCCCCCATTATATGTGTTTATGGCATCCCCTAATTTACCAGTTTGATAACCCAGACAAAAAGGACTTGAGGTCATTCTGAAATGACCTCTTCTTAATAGAACTATATTGGTCTGTAGTGATCAGCATTTCCTTTTCCAAATGCTCACAAACTATGCCTTTAATAATACATTTTTCAGGGAATCAAAGTCAAGTTCATTAGTTTCCAATTTGAAGACTCCATTGCCTTCATACTATCATATGAGATAATATCTGTAAAATGGGGGCAGCCAGGTGGCGCAGTGGATAGAGCATTAGCCCTGAAGTCAGGAGGACCTGAGTTCAAATCCAGCCTCAGACCAAACACTTGACACTTATTAGCTGTGTGACCCTGGGCAAGTGGCTTAATCCCAATCGCCTAAGAGTAAAAATTTTAAAAAAAATTTGTAGAATGTTTAGCAGAGTGCCAGGCATATAATTGGCATTTAATAAATTCTTATTCTTTCCCTCTCTTTTCCCCCTTCCCTTCCTTTTTATGAAAATTGGGACATTTACCCATTTGCTGTCTTGTAGTACCTCTCCTGTTTCCCACAAATCTTCATAGATCTCTGACAGATGCCCATCAAATATTGACTCTTTCAGATTAATGTGTTAGAGGGGCAAAGGAGTACAAAGAGTGATTTTTCCTAGCACCAATACTGGTCCTGGGTTTTACAGGCAGTGCAGCTATGGTTCAGTAGGAAGATCAGTGGATTTGAAATCATAGCTGTTTTTCAGTCATTTTTCCAGTTGTATTTGACTCTGTGACCTTATTTGACTTTTTCTTGTCCAAGATATTGGAGTAGTTTGCCATTTCCTTCTCCAGCTCATTTTACAGATGAGCAACTGAGGGTAAGTGACTTGCCCAGGGTCACATAGCTAGTAAGTGAGGGTGGATTTGAACTCAGGAAGATGAGTTTTTCTGACTCCAGTACCTGGGCTCTATCCACTCCACTACCTAGCTGCCCCAGAAGTCAGAGTACCTGGGTTTGAATCTAAGAACTGCCACTTCCTGGATGGCCTTGGGAAGCCAAACTTCTAGACCTCAGTTTTCACATCTGTGAAACAAGGGTTTTGGACTAGATGGTCTCTAAAAGTCCCTTCTTAGCTTTAAATTCATGATCCTATAATCCTAAAGTACTTTGTGTTCTCGAAGAGTTTATAATTTAATTGAGGAGATAAGTAATAGATTTATGCAAAGATCACTTACTGAACATGATACAGTATATGATGCTGATGATTATTGATGTGTATGTAGTGTTTTAAGATTCACAAAGCACTTTAAATACACGATTGCATATTTGATGCTTGCACTGACCCAGTGAAGTAGGTCCTATAGTTTCATTCTGCCCATTTTACACACTAGTAAACTGAGGATGAATAGAAAGTTATTAGGGTCTTCAGAGTTGATTTAAGGAAGAGATGCTAGAGTTCTCTATCCTTGTTCTATCATCATCCTCATCAACAAATATTTATTAAGCAGTTATTGCTAGGTATTGGGGATGCCATGAGGAACAAGAGGTGAACCCCTGTCCTTAAGGAGTCTATAGCACTATTTGTATATGATTCCTAAATCTGCCCACCACTTTCAGTATATAAAAATCACTTTGGGTAAAAGACAGCCTGAGATGCATTATTAAGCCCACCAATTAAATGACATGACTATTGCATATGTTCAGATGCTACATGGTAAAAGACTTACTATCCTGGGAATTTATGTTGTTTATCAAGCAAGAGGGATAGGACACAGGCATAAAGTGATGAAAATAACATAAGGCTGATGAGTGTCAAAGGGATGGAACAGGCACTAGGTGCTTCTACAGGAGGCTATGATCAGTGTGGGGTGAGATAGGTGGGATGTCGGGATGGGGAGGCTTAGTCAAGAGGACAGCCAGGATAGTGTATGCAAAAAGTATCAAGGCAGGAATGTTCATAGCCTGTTCCAAGAACAATGAGTACATCAGTTTGGTCACTGGAGAAATGTTTCTGTTTTTTTGAGAAGTTACAAAAAAAAAAAGAATAAGAATTAGTAACAGAGTTTGATCTTAGCCTATCAGGACCTTGAGAAACATTGTCATGAGAGGTTGTTTTCCTCCTGATCCTGTAGTATAAGTAGAGGGTTGATCAGGAGAACCTGTTCAACTGAGACACTTGTTTAGGACTTTGATTATGAGCTAAAGACTCTTCATATGTCTCTTATAGGCATTAGGTTGATTTGACAAGCTCAGGCTCCTGGGCATCGAGGTAAGTACCATTTTGTTCTGGGTCTATAAAAGGGGGTGGCACATCAGTCTGAGAAAGAGCTATGCAGCAGAGCAAAAATCGGAGACTGGAGAGGAGATTTGGGTACCTGGGAGGTTCAGTTGATACTTCCACATAACCTCCAAAGGGAATGCTACCCCTTATCTCAGCTTCAGAGATGGCAAATATGAAAAGGGAACTACCGAGTTCTGGTTGACTGAGGGGAGTCCCTGTGCTTGCATCCCAAGAGCCTACCTAAACCTAGCACTTAATAACCGCACTTTGAATTTAATTTAATTCTAGAAGAGTAGTGAAAGCTCCTGGACACCAATTTTCTGGAGGAACGTTGAATTCCTGGACGTAGGACGGAGTTTGTGGACCAGATACTGGAGGAACAAGGAAATGGGTCATCATGTCTAGGAGCACAACCTTGCCTTTGTCCTCTGCTGCTACTGTGAGTTAACTCTGATAATGTAATTCTGATAGGAATGGGCTGCCTTTCTAGAAACCGCAAGTTTGTTCCTTTCTAAAAAGTCAAACCCTTAAGAAGTATTTAAAATGAGAGGCCTATATAGTTAGGGGGTGGGGAGGGCAGCAGAGAGGGAATTGGGATATACAGAAATGTGAGGGCTGGCCCCTCTAGCAATTCCAAGTATGTTTCCCTTCTGAGGAAGTTCCAAACCTTAGGGAAGTACTACAAAATGAGGCCAGCATAGGTCTCTGGGGTAGAAAGTGGGAGTCTCTGATTGTTATGGAATCTCTCTGTGGGATGAAAAAAAAGCTGCCCTGTATCCAATATTATTACTTTGAGCACTGGCATGGGAGCTGAGGTTCTTTTACTCAAACCTGTGGAGACCTAAGTAAAAATTATATTCTGAGGTTCCCAGAGGAAACTCTGGGTGGGGATAAAATGAGGCAAAAAGATACATGATTTTGGGACAGTCCCCCAAGACTGAACCTGATCCCTGTAACGCCAGAGTTTGGGGCCCTGAACCCTCAGTGACATATAATTTCCATCAAACTAAATAGTTCTCTTTGCAAAGGATCATGTTTTTCTAGAATTCCTTAAGTTGAAATTTCAGTCTGGGTGATTTTCTTTCTCTTTGGCTTGCTACAATTTAGATTTTCACTTCTGTGGGGTAAGTCAGAGTACAATCAAAGATGTGACTTTACTTGGAGGTTGAGTAAGTGGGATATTCCAAGCAGATAGTTATCTATAACTGCAAATACAACCCTGACTAACATGAAAAAACAAACCCAAAAAACCTCCCCAGTTGTCTTGAGGACCTTTGTGGTGTGGCAAAGTGGGTAGTGTTCTGGACTTTGAGTCAGGAGATTTGGATTAAAAACATGCCTTTGATATTGTCATAGCTCACATGACCCTATGCAAGTCACATACCTCACTGAATTCAGTATCACCCATCTAAAATGGGGACAATACCATTTACTCCGCAGAGTGGTTGAAGATAAAATAGGAATGTATAATAAGTACTTTGCAGTTTTTAAAGACTATGTAAATTTTAGCTACTATCATTATTATGACATATGGGTTATCATACTTCTATTCTGCCAAAAGGCTTTGTGAAGGTTGGGAAAACAGAAAAGCAGGTAAGAGAGTGTCAATGGATAAGGAAGATAGATAAAAGGCAGAAAAGAATTATAAAGTTCAGCCAAAATAGGAAAAGGCTTTAGAGTGAAGGTAGTTTTATTTTATTGCAATTGTTTTAAATATTTTTTTCACTTAATAAATTCTTTTTTTCTCTCTCTTTCACACCTCCCCTCCGCTAAAAAAGAGAAAACCAAAAACCTTATAATAAATATGCGTAGTCAAGCAAAACAAATTCCTACATTGGCCTTCTCCAAAAATCTATTTTATTCTGCACCTTCTGTCAGAAGAAGGGTGGTATGCTTCACACCTGGTTCTCTGGAATCCTGGCTGGTCATTGCATCAGTCAAGAGTTTTGAAGTATTTTTACATTCCTTGTCCTTACAATGGTATCATTATTGTATGAATCGTCCTCCTGATTCCACTCCTTTCACTTTGTACCCATTCATACAAGTCTTTCTAGGTTTCTCTAAAACCACCCTTTTTTTTGTCTTTTTTGCTAGGCAGTGGGGTTAAGTGAGTTGCTGAGGGTCACACAGCTAGTAAGTGTCAAAGTCTGGATTTGAACTCAGGTCCTCGAGACTCCAGGGCTAGTGCTCTATCCCCTGCACCACCTGGCTGCCTCTCATTTTTTAAAATAGTACAATAGTATTGCTTTACATTCATGTACAATAATTTGTCCAGTCATTCCCCCAATGGATAAGTACCCCCTTAGTTTCTAATTCTTTGTTACTGTAAAAAGAGCTGCTATAAATACTTTTGCACATATGAGTCCTTTTCTTTGATCTCTTTGGGTGTGGGTCAAGTAATAGTGTCACTACATAAATGAAAATGCACCCTTTGTGACTTTCGAGGCATTGCTCCAAACTGAGTTCCAGGATTGTTTGACCACTAACAGTGCATTAATGTGCTTGTGTCCCCACAGCCTCCCAACATTTGCAATTTTCCATTTTTGTCAACTTTGCCAAGCTGGTGGGAATTAAATAGAACTTCAGAGTCTCTTTAATTTGCATTTCTCTAACTACTAGTGATGCAGAGCAATATTTTTTGTCAAATGATTACGGATAGCTTGATTTCTTCCCTTGAGAACTTCTTATCTTTTTGCGTCTTATTATTTGAGGAGTGCCTCTTGTTCTTGTAATTGAATCACTTCCTTACATATTTTGGAAATGAGACTTTTATTAAAGAAACTTGTTGCAAAATTTTCCCCCAGTTACCTGCTTCCCTTTTAATTTTAGCTACATTGGTTTTGTTGGTGAAAACCTTTTCAATTTTATGTAATCAAAATTGTCTGTTTTATCTCTTTGATCCTCTTAATTCTTTGGTTATGAACTGTCAGAGAGCTTGCATTCTAAGGGAATATAATGGAGGTAACTATTAAAGCTTTGAAAAAAATTTGTCAACTGTTGCAGCATTTGACTTTGTGCTCCTCTGTGACTGAATCATAGACTATTGGAGTATTGGATCTAAAGGGGATCTTGGTACAGAAAAAGCAAGTGATTTCTCTAAAAATTTGTATGAAACTGGTTAAAGGCTGAAATCCAGGCTTTTTGACTCTCCATATAGTGTTCTTTCCACTATACCACAGAATTAGATAACTATAGTTGCAAAATTATAAACATTAATTATATAAAAATAAATTTTAAAATCTAATTGTGTCTTAGGGAGCCAAAAATATTCAGGGACGTAGAATCCATCTAGGCTTCTAACAAGTGCCTGGCATACAGTAAACAGTTAATAAATGCTTATTGACTGAACTTAGACACAAATGGTACACTACAACATCCACTTTTTGGCAAATAACTGATAGACACTTGAACAGGAAGGGAGCTAAGTAGTGTACGACAAAAAGATTATATTTAAACAGAGCAATATGTTAGCAGGCAGGAAAAAAACTAGTGTACCATAATGCCTGAGATCAAAAATGTAATTTATACATGAAATAAATTGTAAACTATAGAAAAATATCCAAAGTGAAAAAAAAGTTGGACTTGCTATAAAAAAGTAGTACTCTACATTCATGTAAATCTGAGAATCTCAGAGTCCTTAAGTACAAATCCTCACAAAATCTAGTTCTATCCATTTTATAGATGAGCAAGCTGAGGCAGAGAAGATCATGCTTAAATAGAAGTCAAAATTTCCAGGTAAAAATTATAGGCTGATGTTTACCATTTCATGAAAAGATAGCATTCTTCTAATAAGACTTTTCAAAAGAAATATTCTTTGTTAAGCAACACATCCAAAATTTTAATGTGAAAAAATTTGGTGGCCATTTCTTTATGACTTTAAGGTCACATGTTTAGCACTGAAGTGGACTTGAGAAGTTACCTAGTTAAGCCCCTTCATTTCACAGATGAGGAAAATGAGGATCAGAGATATGAAAGTATGTGGCACCACCAGGAATAAATCCAGATCATTTGACTCCAAATCCATCTCTCTTTCCTCTCTCTGTATGAGGCTGGGTTCGAAACAAAATAGAAGGAAGAGAGCAGGCTGGATAATTCTGCAGCTCTTTCATGATGACAAAGTTATTCTCAAATCCAAAACCCAATCTTTTGAAATGATGACAATTTCCCTTTGATGCTAAATAGCTGCAAGTCATGAAATACTGTAACTTCCAAATAACCATAATCATAGGTAAATCCAGAAGATAATGGAGGCACAAGAAAACCACAGCATGCTGTAGTACCAATAATGATTTGCATGCAAAAAAAAATGACATGAGGAAAACCATATAGGAGATGTATAATTGAAAAAGTAGGTGTGCAGGGCTTGAAATGAAATCAAGTAATAATTGATATACAGCCTTAGTGGTCCAACCCTAGTGCTGCACTGGTACCCACAAAATGTTAAAAGTTGTAGAGAAAGGTTTCTAATGTGTTGGATCATCTGGGAAGGATACATGGAAGGGTGTAGACAAGAATCCAAGACCAGAAGGCTTGAATACATTATGGTCTGCCCCTATGTATGGAATACCCATATCCATAAAATCATACATGGTGAAATATTGAAAATCTGTCTGATCATTAGTAGATTTTGAAACAGCAACCTAGTGGATTGAAATTTTTATTTTTCATATAGTTATTTGATGTCGTATAGACATAGCCTAAATAATTTGACCAAAGTCTAAATGATTTGACTATTAATAAATGACAAGGGTAGAGAAGAAACTCATAATCTTGCATCCTTGGAGCTGTTTTATGCAGTATTACAGCATAGTCCTGTCCAAAGTCAATGTAATTATTTTAAAAATGAAACCTCAATGAAAATTGACTTCTCCATGTACAGTTCCCCAATCATGCCAATTTAATCTCTTAAAATTTTCTCAACTATGACAACTTCTGAAACACCTAAGCCAAATGAAATGAATCAAATAAATAGAATTGCATAATGGAGAGTTAAATATAGACCAAGACAAATGAGTGAGATTCAATTAAGTAAATGCTTTACATGTGTCTAGCTTTGGTGGGCTAGAATAATACATATTTTGAGGTATTTTAGTATAAGGCTGAATTGAATAATCTCATAGCATTTAAAGAAAATAGAATGAAGGAAAGGACTAAAACTAATACCTTAGAAAAATATAATGGACAATAATTTCTTTGTCAAAACTAAAGCTTGAGTTATATACTGTTAATGAAATTGGAGGCAGAAGACCTGAGTTTAAGTCCTGGCCCTGTTATTTATTTGTTATGTGACCTTGGAAAAGTCACTTAATTGCTTTGAGTATGCATGCATATTTAGTTATTTTTATTGATCCACATATCATGGTGTGTGTCACGATTCCAAAGTATCTCAATAGATTGTGAAAATTTCTTCTGTGTTTTGTTTATACACATCTATACACA